TGCTGCTTTTTGAAAACGTCTTTAGAAAATGTGAAAATGGTTCTGAGCTCACGAGCCACATAAACAAAGGCTGCGGGCCAGACCCTGCCCGCGGATCAAAGCCTGCTGCTTCCTGAGACAACATCTCTTAACTTTGGTTTGCGACTCATAGTAACCCTATGTCCAATAGCTCTGAACCCTAGTCCACCCCGAGCCAGTCCCACAGTATTTGACACACTTGCTCTGTCGTCTCAGTTACTGTGTTAATCCGTCTCACCCAGCATCTTCCTCTTCTACGCTGTCCTTCCATCTTTCTAAGCATGAGATGCTTCTCTTCAAGGATAGGTCCCTCCTGGCCACATGCCTGAAGGCTGTGAGACAGAGCTTCAAAATCCTTGCCTTCAAGGATCAGCTTGGTTTCTCTCTCTCTCCAGGACAGACTTGTTTGTTCTCTTGGAAGTCCCTGGTATGTTCAATACTCTTCTCCAGCACCACAACTCAAAGGCGTCAATTCTTCTTCTGTCATCCTTAGTCACTGTCCAGTTCTCTCATGCATAGTAAATAACTGCAAAGACCATTGCTTGAATCAGGTGTCCCTTAATCTCCAGACTGACATCATTGCTTTTTAGCACTTTGGAGAGGTCCCTGATGGCAGATTTTTCTAATGCAGTTCATCTTTTGATTTTCTGACTGCTTGTGCCAAGAGTGTTGATGGTGGAACCGAGCAAGCTGTAATTTTTAATGACTTCAATCTCTTCTCCACCTACCACAGTGCTGCCAAATGGCCCAGTGGTGAGAAGCTTTGTCTTCTTGACACTGAGCTTCAATCCACAGTCCCTGACCTTCTGCAGCACACGCTTCAGGTCCTCCTCAGTGTCAGCCAGCGAGGTTGTGCCATCTGCATAATGCAGGGTATTGCTGAGTCTTCTTCCAACTCCTATACCACACACCTCCTCATAAAGCCCAGTCTCTTGAATGATCTGTTCTGCATACAGATTGAAAAGATATGGAGAGAGGACACATCCCTGACACACTCCTTTTCTGATTTTGAACCATGCAATGCATCTTGTCTTTTTCCACTGGGTCTGTTCTTAGCCATTCTCAAGAGAGCCGTCTTCCTATAACACCAAACCAGTCCCTCTCACACATGTGACCAGGATGAGCAGCTGTGGCTGATTTTTCAGAAGTAGGTCACCAGGCCTTCTTTCTGAGGTACCTCTGGGAGAACTAGACTCTCTAACTTCTCCGTTCACAGTGGAGAGTGTGAGTTGTTTGTAGCACCCCACCCTGCTTGACTTTCTCCACGGCTCTCGCCATCATCTGTAATTACATCTTGTTTTGTATTTACAGTTGCTCTGACCTGAAGTAGCTGGGAAGCTCTGGTGGCTCTGGTAGTGGTAAGAAGCTGTGTTGCAATTTCAAAGGCACATGGTTCAAACCTACCAGCTGCTCTGTGGGACAAGGATGGGCAAGCCCCTCCAGGCCAATTTTCTGCTGCTGGAAACCCACTGGAGGGTCAGTTTGGGCTGGTTCCTACTCCATGGCACATACCACCACCACCTGCCCTGCTAGAACGGGTTCCATTCACTGCGGTGCCCCAGAGCCCACCATGCCACTTGACACATTTGAGGTGAATACATGAACTGTTGGGAAAAGGTCAGCTTAATCTACCTTTTGTGGTGGCTCGCTCCTCACTTCACCTACTTTGGTCTCAGTCCTGCTGACATCCTCATTCATCATGCATCTCCCTTTAAAGGTTTTACACGCACTGTCACCTTCACCATCTTTTTCTTTGAGCAACACACTCCTACTCATCCGTCAATGCCCAGTTCCAATGTCACCTCTTCTACGAATGGTTTGTACTTCCTTGACTAGGATGAAATATCCCCTCTGGCAGATTTCCAGAGCACTCTGTACCAATCTCTGAGTCATAGTTAGGTTTCCAGCACAAACCTTTCTTGATTTATACTCTGAATGCTTCTAACTATATTTGAGAAAAATTAAAACCAAATTCTATTTCACCTACAGTGAGTTCCTTTCTGAAAGTGCTATACTGAATGGTATTTCAACGGCTAGTTGTTGTTGTTGTTGTTATGTGCCGTCGAGTTGTTTGCGACTCATAGCGACCCTATGTGCAACAGCCCTAAACCCTGCTCTATCCTGTGCCAATCGCACTGCCTCTGACACACCCATCCCGATTACCTGAGTCACTGAATCAATCCACCTCATAGAGGGTCTTCCCCTCTTGTGCCATCCCTCCACCCTCCCAAGCATGATGTCCCTCTCCAAGGACTTGTCCCTCCTTACAACATGTCCAAAGTATGTCAGTAGGGGCACATATTATGTGGATTTCCAGCACAGAACTCTGTGCTAAGTGTCTTCTGTACATTATCTTTCAGGCCCTAATAATCCTAATAAAGAAAGCGTTATTATTATCTGTCTTAGAGAAAGTGCATCCAGAATGCTCTTTGGATGTCAAGATGACAAAGGCTTCATCTCACATACTTTGGGCATGTTGCTGAGAAAAGCTATTTGTTGGAAAAGGAGATCATGCAAGAAAAGGCAGGGGGTTGTGAAAGAGAAGACCCTCGACGAGATGGAAAAACAGTGGCTGCAACAATGGGCTCAAGGGTGTCAGAGACGATGTGGTACAGGGTTCACTCAGGATTGTTCATAGGTTTGCTGTGAGTCATACTCAACTTGATGGCAGCTAACAACAACAGCAACAACAACAAAAAGTGATCTAACATACAGTGAGGCCAGATAATCTGCCTCTGGTGGCCTGCGGGCACACCACCAGGCCGTCTTGTGCTCACCGTGTCGGGTGGTCCTTTGTTCTGTCACGCTGTCTGGCTGGTGCACACATCTGTCCTGCTTCTCTGTGTCAAAGCCCGGGGTGTATTCTGCTTAGAGAGGGGCCCAACTCCCCTGCAACAAGGGCCTGCCCTGTGGTGGGGCACATATGTCCTTCTGCTAGCCAGATGGAGAGGCATGGAATCTGGGCTGCCCTCTACACTTCTGATAGTGCATCCCCAAGGGCAGCCAGGTGTCCTCGGAGCCTGCTGTTTACCCAGGTGGACCGAAGGCACTTAGCCAGCTCACTCTGAGCTGGTGCAGCGACCCCAGGGCAGGGGGCAAAGGAGCCCCCTCGAAGGGAGAGGAGATAGGGGAGGAGGCCCAGCAGTCTCATCATTAACTTGAAACAAAGAAACTTTTCTTGCTCCTCCAGGGAGGGAGGGTAGTAATAATAACTTTTCAGAAACATGCAGACTCTCTCTACTGCACAGAAAGGAAGAGGGGGTGCTGACTTGCAGCCTGTGGTCTATTTGACTAGTGACAGTGTGGAACTTTGCGGCTCACTGGGAACATCCTGACTTGAGAAGGTGGCCTTGAGCTTTTAGCACAAGTGCTACTCAGAGTGCGGTCCTCACACCAGCAGTCTCAGTATCACCTGGGAGCCAGTTAGAGACGCAGCCCAACCCAAACCTACCAAATCAGAGGAGCCCCAGCCCAAGCCTACAGAATCAGAGAGCCCCAGCCCAGACATAATCAATCAGAGTCTGAATTTTAGAAAGACCACCAGGAAATCTATGAGCAGATTTCAGTTTGAGAAGCACTGACCTAGGATTCCTGGTTAGAAACACAGGTTTGGGCTTCATGCCTTCACAATTCTGATTCACTAGACCAGGTGGTAAATCAGGCTGGGATCTAGAAATCTAAAAAGCACCCCTGGGGAGCCTGCCTACTTTCCCCAGCAGCTGTGGTCTAGGGGCAGTGTTCTGGAGCAGAAATGGAGCAGAAGTCATTGGATTTAGACATGAGCTCTCCACCCTCCTGCCTCTGAGCTAGGTGATTCAAGTAATTACTTCAGCTTTCTGCGTTTCGGCTTCTTCAACAACACGGGGCTTTAACCGTAAGAACAGTATTATGTATAAAGTGCCTAGCAGAGCATTTGTACACCTGTTCTCAAAACCCGTTGCCACTGAGCTGGAGCGGACTCACGGCGGACCCTCCGCTGGGTTTCTGAGGTCACCTGCATGAGAAGTGACCGTTCATCTTTCTTCCTCAGAGCTACTGGTAGATTCGAACAGCCAGAGAGAGGAGGCCTTTGGGTTAAGGGTAAAATTGGCAACGGGCTGCACCAGTAGTACCTTTACAGGCCAACTGTTCTGTGACCACGTTCTTGCCCTGCAGGTGGGAGATCTGTGTGCGATCATTAGCCAAGGTCATGTTCAACTATCATAGAGGCTTGTATGGTACTAGAGGCTGGACCAATTTCAGAGGAGCCTTTGGACCCACTCAGAAGAAAGGTCTGGAGAGCTGTGCCTTAAAATTTGGCAATAAAAATCCATGGATGCAAACAGTCCAATCCACACCAGATCTTGGGAATGGGGTGGGACCAGGCAGTGTTTCATTTCATTGCATTCTGAGTAACCATGAGGCTAGGCCTCCACAAGCAACACTAACACAGTTACAAAGAGACAAATAGCTGCAGTAATCACTATTAGATCAATGAGCTACACAACTGGTTACACATTTGAACAGTGAGTTGGGTCAGAGCAGAGGCAACAGGAAGGTCAATGGGTCTGCTCATCAGGGTGTAACGGAGGTGATTTCTCTGCTATTTCCCCCTAATCTTAAAGGCATGGAGAAAGAATGATGCTGCGGCTACCATGTTTTCACTTTAACAGTCAACTGGGAATTAAGAATTCCTGGGTCCGGCCTTCCAGAGAGTCTGTTTTGTCAGGGTTAGGAGGTGGCCCAGGAATCTGGGTTTTCATTCCTGGGAGATTCTGCTGCATGAAGTCCTCCAACTTCACTCTGAGAGGCAGTGGCTGAGAGAAGGTGCTCACCAACTCGGTAAACCCAGAGCGTTATGCACGAGGGGCCCGGGGCAGGCACAGGAAAGCTCTGAGGATGACTGAGCCCGGGCCTAGTCCAGGGCTTCCTATGTGAATGAATGCAGGGTTCTGTGCTGCTTGGCTGGGGCAACCCCAAAGACCAGAGGGAGAGGGCAATACCTGGGCTTCGGCAGCTTCGATGGTGTGGGAGAGGTTTCCATTCTGGACGGGCTCGGAGGCATCACTAGGGGGCGTCATCTCCATTTCTGTGCTGGTGCTATTTGGGAGCTCGATTTTGTCTGTGACAGAATTGAAACACAAACACACAGAGAAAGCAAATGAAATCAATCAGGGAAGAGGAGAGCCTTGCTGAAAAACGGAACTGTAAAAGGTCGGGCCAAGAGAGCTGGAGCTGCATGTCTCTGAGGGACGATGGGACCGAGGGATGGGGTCAGACCAAACACTAAAGGAATGTCCACCATCCCTCAGTCTGCCCTCTGCGTTCTCGGCCTTTCCCCTTTTCTGACAGTTCTCTGACTTCCCACACCAGCTTGGGGGTTTGGGTGCCCTAACAGCTCCCAGGGGAGCCTATTTTCTAGGTGAAATCTACCAACACACCGGTTAGCTACTATTCAAGAATGTGAATACAGAAATTTAAAAGTCAAAACCATACGGAATGTAAATACTATTTTGTGCCAGGATCATAGCATAAGCCTTTGTCTTACAGAAAAAAAGGTCTTTTCTTGGTACTACATTCCGGAAAGGACCCCAGCCCACCTGGGTCCCAGACTTGGTCTGCCACTATTAGCTGCCACCTCAGGTGAGTCCCCGCCTTCCTCTGGGTTTCAGGAATCTTATCTGTGAACTGAGGTAGGTTTGATGGATTGATTCTGAAGTCTATCGACTGCAGCTCTAATTCTCTCAGACTGTGAGTGGATAAATGAGTCCCAAGCTAGATGGACATGGGGAAGGCAGCTGGGGAACCCAGCCCCTCCTTCCCAAAGTCCCTAGAGAGGGCCAGTTAGCGCATTCCACACCTGGGTGGCCTACAGCAGCAAGTCAGGGAGAAGCAGAAGACACAGTGCAGGGAAAGCCTGTATGGTTTCCAACTGAGGGGAAATGCTTGGCCAGAGAGAAGCCAGGTGTCCACAGGTATAGATTCAAGCTTCCTCCTGAGATCTGGACGAAAATAGGAGATTCTGGGCTCTGAGACAGTGAAATCAGGCAGCCCTTGGTTCCTAGTCTGACTCTGCCACTTCTGCTGTGTGGCCCTTAGTGAGAAACCTGACCTCCCTGAGCCTCAGTCTCCTCATCTGCAAAATGGGGGTGATGATGACAATATCAATCCAACAATAGCAACAATTACTATTACAACCAACAACAACAAAACCACTCTAAGTGCTACTTCTGGAAGGGTTAAAATAGGAAAATGTGTGTAAAGTCTGTCCAGTATCTGGTATAGAGCAAGGAAGCAGGAAACATAGACTCTTTCTGTCCTCCTCAGTGCCTCTCTGCATGACAAGATTCTGGGCAGTGAGAGTTCAGGCACCGCCAAGGTCAGCCTCCACATCAGTGGGAGGGAGATGGAGAGACCCTGAGACCCTCAGGCTGTAACGGGTCAAGTGTTGGTTTTCTGAGGCTTTGTATTTTGGTATCAGGGTTGCTGGGGGCGAGGGTGGGGTTAAACTGCTCACACAGCATCACAGTCTTGGTTTCTTGAAACTTCAGAAAGATTAAATATTTCTATCAATTACTTCTGGTGGTCTAGATCATAGGGAGCTGGACTTCTCACTCAAAGGGTGTGACTTATACCAGTTGATCGTAGTATGCCTGACTCAGTCATGTGGTCTCTGGGGGTGACTGGTAGGAATGATGTACTCTTCGGATCCAGGCAGAGAGGATCAAGCTCACCTCAGCCTGGGTAAAAAGGCAGAGGTAAGAGGCTCCCAAACAGGTATGAGCAGATGAAAAGAAACAATAACCTACGAGGCATAGTATCTAGCCTGAGTCACCAAAAAAAGTATGGGGGGAAAAATCTTCGGATTTTAGAATTCTTAAAATTCTATTTTTTCAAGCCCACCACCCATCCAGTGGATTGTTGTATTCTGACTTATGTTGCTGTGATTATGATGCCAACTGTAGTATTTCAAATCTTGGTAGGGCCAATCCATGGAAGGGCAGGCTTCAGTCCTTCCAGACTACAGGCGGAGGAGAAGGCCTTGGAAATCTACTTCTGGAAAAACTTGTCAATGAAAGCTTTAGGAAAAATGATGGAATCTTGTCTGATATTTTTCTTGAAAAAGAGTCTTTAAGTTGGGAAGGCATTCGAAATAGGAGCAGGGAAGAGGTGCCTCCTTGAAGTAGTAGTTCTTGGGTGCTGTTGTGTTGAGTAGGACTCAAATAGTGACCTTACGAACAACAGATCTGAACTCTATCCTGTGCCGTCCTCACAATCACTGACACACTCAAGGCCAATGCTGCAGTTACTGTATCAGTTCATCTGGTTGAAGGTCTTCTTCTCCTTTGCTGTCCCTGCATATTTCTAAGCATGATGTCCCTCTCCAAAGAAGAGCCTTTCCCAGCAACATGCCTGAAGTATGTGAGATGAAGCTTTATGATGTTTGCCTCCAAGGAGCACTCCGGTATACCTTCTATGAAGAAGAATGTGGCATTAGGATTGGAGGAAGACTCATCAATAACCTTCATTATGTGATGATACAATCTTGCTTGCTGAAAGTGAGGAGGACTTGAAGCATCTGCTGCAGAAGGTTACACACTGCAGCTGTCAAGCTGAATTGCATCTTAACATCAAGAAAACAAAAATCCTTGCTACCGGACTGACAGGAAATATCATGAGAGGTTAAGAAAAGATTGAAAGTATCGATGGTTTCATCTTATTTGGATCCACCAGTCAATACACTTGGTACCAGCAGTCAGGAGATCAGATATGTTATTACACTGGGAAAGTCTTTAGTCAGGGACCTCTCTCTTCAAAGTAGAGACCATCTCAATAATGGTGGTGGAATAAAACTTTTAGGACCTTCATTTGCTGATGTAGCACAACTAAAAATGGGAGCTGAAAACGTCCATGAGTAATTATAACATGGAATGAACAAAGTATGAAAAACTAGAAGCTGTCAAAAAGGAAACAGGACATTTCAAGATTGTTATTTCAGGCATCAGTGAGCTGAAATGGACCCGCATTGGCTATTCTGGATTAGATAATCACATAGTCCACTAAGGGGCGGTGGGGATAACTTGAAAAAGAGCAACGTTGCAATCATTGTAAAAACAAAATTTGGTGCCTTTGAGCTGTGGTGGTGGAGAAGACTATTGAATATACCATGGACTGCTAGGAAAACGAATGGATTTGTCCTGGAGAGAGTGGAGTGAGGCTGCTCCTTGGAAGTAAGGATTCTGAGGCTT